GCTAAGAGCTTCAGGAGGGCAATCTCATCCAGTTCTCATAAAGATCCTGTGGCATTAGCTTTTTTTTTTTTTTTTTTGAGATGGAGTTTCGCTCGTTACCCAGGCTGGAGTACAATGGCGCGATCTCTGCTCACCGCAACCTCCACCTCCTGGGTTCAGGCAATTCTCCTTCCTCAGTGTCCTGAGTAGCTGGGACTACAGGCACACACTGCCATGCCCAGCTAATTTTTTTTTTTTTTTTTTTTTTTGTATTTTTAGTAGAGATGGGGTTTCACCATGTTGACCAGGATGGTCTCGATCTCTTGACCTCATGATCCACCCGCCTTGGCCTCCCAAAGTGCTGGGATTACAGGCTTGAGCCACCGCGCCCGGCCAGCTTTTTTTTTAAGACGGCGTGCCCGGCTGTGGCTTTAGTTTTAATACTCTGATTTCACAGGTTAGAAAACTGAGGCTTGGTCGGGCACGGCGGCTCACGCCTGTAATCCCATCATTTTCGGAGGCTCAGGTGGGTGGAACTTCTGAGGTCAGGAGTTTGAGACCAGCCTGACCAACATGATGAAACCCCGTCTTTACTAAAATTACAAAAAATGAGCTAGGTGTGGCAGCAGGCATCTGTAATCCCAGCTACTTGGGAGGCTGAGACAGGAGAATCACTTGAACCCAGGAAATGGAGATTGCAGTGAGCCGAGATTGCACCATTGCACTTCAGCCCAGGCAACAGTGTGACTCCGTCTCAAAACAAACAAACAAAAAACAAAAACAAAAACACCTGAGGCTTGCAGAGGTGGTTGTGGTACGGCTCCAGGATTCTTAGTACAACCTACTTGAAGTTAAGGTATGGAGTTGAGCCATTCCACCATCTGGCCCCCTCCTGCACGTTTCTCCAGCCTAGGCTCTCAGCAGTTTCCTGTGGGCTTCCCCTCACCTCCTGTCTTCATCCCCTCTGGCCACCTCCTTGGATTGCCTGGCACAGGCTGGGGCACTACCCCTCCAACCGACACCAAGCTCTTACCGGGCTTCCTGTTTGCACCTGCAATCTGCCTTTCCTCTACCCACATGGCTCCACAAAGGCCTGCCCTGCTGACTCCTGATTCTCAAGCAGCCCCTGCAGAGCCCTCCCCAGGCTCCCTTTCCTGTTCCCTTACAGCCATTGGGAGACATCTGTCATCATCTCATCAGAGTATCACAGCCTTCCAAGAAAGGTTTTCCTGCCAGGCAAAGAATGGGCTGATTTCTGCAAAGCTGGATGATCCCCATCATGGGAGTCAATCAAGCCTGCATCAGAGGTAGTGAAGGGGCCATTGACTGAAGGCTCTGGCAGTTGGAAAAATCTGGAATCTCAGATCCAACCAAGTAACCAATGTTGACTTCACTCATGCTCTGGTTTTTTACTGCAGTGATCCTAGCAGCAGAGGGCCTTGGGGCTGGCACAGGGCAAGGACTGCCTATAGGTATGTTAGGAAGAAGAGCTTGAATCTGCATCCACGCAGTGAGCTCCCAGGGCCCATGTTTGTAGAAGTTGGTGCACAGTTTTTGGAAAGAGGGTGCTGTATTAGGGTTCTCCAGAGAAACAGAACTAATAGGGCATATGTAGATACACGGAAGACATTTATTACGGGAATCTGCTCACACTCACACAATTTTGGAGGCTGAAAAGTCCTACATCTGCATGCTGGAGACCCAGGTAGTGTAATTGCCAGTCTGGGTCCAAAGGCCTGAAAATCAGGAGCACCAATATTTGAGGGCAAGAGAAAATGAATGTTCCAGCTTAAGAATGAAGAGGAAGAATTCACTCTTTTTCTGCCTTTTTGTTTTCTTTGGGCCCTTGAAGGACTGGATGGTGCCCACCCACACTGGTGAGGATGGATTTACTTTACTCAGTTTACCCATTCAAACACTAAACTCTCCCAGAAACACCCCGCTGACACACCCAGAAATCACATTTTACCAGCTATCTGGGCAACGCTTAGCCCAGTCAAGTTGACACCTGACATGAACCATCACAAACACCAAGGTTACGTAAATTCAGAAAAGGTTCTGAGACACAGAAAAGCTGAGGTGGCTCAGCTCTGGCCTGGCCTGGCAAGTGTAAAACCCACTTTTTTGAGTTGTAGGTACGGATTTGTGTGTTTGAGAAGAGAAATGGGAAGAGAGGAAAGGGCCAGGTGTCCCAGTAGGAGTCTCAGGGGACTCCGTATCTGAAGGCAAAACATAGACATTTGCTCATGCTGCAACTCCACCGTTCTCTGACTGCACTGTAGAGCTATGTAACTCCATCCTATGTTACGTTTCCTGCTGTCTCTTTCACTTGGTCTTTGGGAAATATTAACTTCAGTGACAGAAAATAAGAAATAAGGAAAAATATCCAAGTCATTGCTCAGATACTTCCCTTGATCTAGGGATACAAATTATCAGATTTCCGCCATGGCAAAGATGATCTTCATGGCAATAACAAGCTTGCAACAAATCTTCTAGAACTCCTACAGAGGAGGAGCAAGAATGAGTGCAGAGAAGGGCTCAGGGGAGGAGATGGGTGGGAGGTTTCTGCCCAGACTCTCATGCCCTCTGCTTGGCATCCTGGGAAAGATAGGACACTCTTAGCACATTGCTACTTTTTAAAATTTTTCAGCTAAATGTCGGAGGCTTTTGTTTTCAAATTTGAAAATTTTTTTTTTTTTTTTTTGGATGGCTAAAGATGGAAAAAATGCACATTCCCTTTTTCAGATACTTGCTTGCCCATGCCCTGTTTTTGTTTAATTTCTTGGAAACTTGAAGTTGCTGCCTGGGAAGTGGGGAGGCCCTGGGCCGGGGAAACGAAGCTCCAGAAAGGGCCCAGGTCCCAGATGGGGATCCAGAGAGGCTTCCCTGCATGTGCTTCTGGACGAGGTGTGGGGAACCCGGGGAGCACCTGCCTCAGCTAACACAGAGCGCATGGGGATACTGGATCCTGTTTTTTCTTCTGCTTTCTTGGGACACTGCTAGGAAAAATAACCACAGACACTGCATAAATGAGCACCCAAGTCACAGTTTTTCCAGAAACAAAGGTGTGGTTGGAGCATCCCATTCCATTGCTACCCCAGCAAGGGCAGTGTGGCTGGTGGGGACAGCTGGCTGGGGTGTGGGTAGCAGTTTAGAGAGATTTTAGGAGAGACTGCCTGACAAAGGGCCAGAGAACCCTAGCACTGTGCTGAGTTTTCCTGACTATGAGCTCTTAGGCAAGCAAGAGTGTCAGCTCCTGTAAATGGGTGCCCTAACACCACATGAAGCTCAAATTCATGTCATCTGTCATTTAGCCAACATGGTTTTTGGTATTATGATGGTTTCTGTGATGCACTAAATAGCACCTGATTGGCTCTGGGTATGAAGGTCACCACAGTCTAATGCAAGAGAGGTTTGAGCAAAGAGATGATTTGGTCCAATTGCACAGAGTGGATGGTGTGAGCAGGCAGCTGGGGAGAAGTTAAGAGCAGCCTCAAAGTCAGATAGTCCTGGGTTCTTCCCATGTTCTTCCCCTGACCAAGGGTTACCTTGGACAAGTTGCTTAGAATGTCGGATCCTGGTATCTTATCAGGACAAAGAGATCATAACAGTACCAGCCTCACCTAGCTCAGCTGGCTGTGACCTCCTTCCCACCTTCCCCGGCACCCCCTGACTCATCTCATTGCTTCTTGGCCTGGTGTCTCCCAGAGGTCAGGAAAATTGCCTGCCTCATCTCTGAGGGCTGGGGCTTGGTGCTCATGAAGACTTTGCTTGGGAACAAATACCCAGGTCAGTCTGAGATTGAGAAACAACACTACCTTCCAGAGCACAGCGAGATTGTTCAAGTCTTCCAGAAAAGCAGCTCTTGTCCCTCCTTGTGTGATGGGAGTGGAGTAGGAGTGCAGCTTAGGCTCCGCATTCTCAGTGATGAAATGTGGGATGGGCTGTGTGTCCCACCCTGGGGCTGGCTGACTTTGGAACTGGAGCCTCGAAGTTTCTGTTGGCTGATTCTGGAACAGTCTTTTCCAGGATGACTATTCTTGCTCAGTTTCTCTGCCATCTCTAACAAGCTGTTTTTCCCTGCTTCCACTCCCCCCTTCCCTCCCCCGCTGCCCTGCAGGTGCCAGAGGAGCAGGGCAGGATCCCAGGGCTGCAGCCAGCATCCAAAGCAGTTCTTGGTGTCTCCAAGACTTGCCCCGGGCCCTGCTCCGGATGGGATTCTGAGACCACCTGCTCCATTTTGCAGATGAAATCTGTCTCTCTTTTGTGGGAGGAGGGGTTGGGGGGATTGGGAGGGTCGGGGGTGGGAAGGATGTTTTCCTGGAAACGGTCACAGGATGAGCCGCTGATGAAACTTCTCTTGTGACGTCCCTGGGTGAAGAGGACTTCAGATTTCTGCAGAATTTGTCCATTCCCCCATCTCACAAATGGGGAAACTGAGGCTAAGCGACTGAGCTCAGGGCCATCTGAATCTCAGGGATGGACAGTCAGGGTGGACATCTTATAGGCCTTTCCTTCTCGGAGAATCTCTGCTCGGGATCGTTCTTCTGGTTTGCCCCAGGTTGCCTAAATTCTACTCATTTGTCCCGGCGCATTTTGAGAAGTCATGTGACTTCTAAAGCCTTCCCAGACCTCCTCCCTTCATTAGCTGGGTCTTTCACCGGCTTCTACGTAGGCACCCTGGGCTTTCCGGACCGGCTGTGCTCCTTTTTGTATGCGTGATCCCTATTAGACTGTGAGCTGCAGGAGGGAGGGTAGGTCTTGCTCCCGGAGAGCACCTTAATTACAGGCGCTGAATGAAAGAATGAACTGGTTGTGCAGGAACCAGGACCCGAACCCGCCTCCCCAGGTACTCTAACACCGGCCCGGCGGAACCTGCAAGCCTCCAGACCGCTTGGAGCCTGTGCTGCTCGATGGGTCTGATTATTCCGGGTCCCCTCTGCGACCAGCGAAGGGAGGTCCCAGGGCGCACCTCGGCAGGGCGGGGGGTCCCGGGCGACCGGCGCCTGGAGGCGCGCCGCGTTGTTAGGGTGATGAGGCCAGGTGACCCGCCCGGCTCGGGGCGCGGGCGCTGGCTGTGGCGATTGCCCGCGCCGCCTCGAGGGGGCCCTGCCGCGGGCGCCGGCAGCCAGCCAGGAGGACGGGCCCGCCCGCGCGCTACTCCGAGCCCAGCCTAGCTGCGGCCATCGCCCCGCCGGACCGCGCCGCGGGCTCTCCCAGGTACTGGGGCTGGGGAAGGAGAAAAGGCGGCCACGCGCCGCCGCCCTCTTTGTTTGGGCCCGGGCGCGGGCTTTCGCGGTCGGGGCGCAGAAACTAGGCTTGCGAAGCGCAGGGATCTGGAGCTGGGGCGTGGGGAAGGAGCTCGGAGCGTGCGGAAGGAGTTCGGGACGTGCGGGGCACGGGAGCTCGGGGCGTGGGGATGGGGTCACTGGGGAACACAGGTTAGGGAGAGCGGGGACCCGTCTGGGAGCGCACGGGCAAGGGGTTTGGGGCGCGTGGGTACGGGGCTTGGCGCGCGTGGGGGTCGGGGGCTCGCCTGGAGTCCCAGGACAGGGGCTAGGGTGCGGGCCAGCTCCGCCGGGGTCCGGGAACGGGGTCGCTGACTTGCTGGGTTTGGGGACAGGGCTGGGGCGCAGGACCGCTCGAGCCGGAGCGGTGGCGCCCTGGCGCTCTGGACTCCGGGTACGGATCGGAGCAGTTCTGTCGCGGTCTCTGTGAGGACTGAGCGGACTTTGCTCCCTATGACTCCGTCTCGAGACTCCAGGTCGAGAGCGCAGCTAGGGGCTTCAGTGGGCAGGCTCAAGACCCTTCTCCCACTTTTTCTAGACAAGCTCTCCAGTGCGTTCCTTTCCCTTTGGTGGGTGGGAGGCAGGGGGTACTTCGCGCTTCTTCTTCTTTTTTTTTTTTTCCCCTGAAGGACGGCACCTCGGGGGGCAGTTTTGTGTGTGGGGGTGTCCCAGGTTGGGGGCCAGCTGTGTAGCATGTGCCTGCTGACACGCAGGCGCTGTCGCTGACAAGCAGGAGGAGGGAGCGTGGGGGACGTCCCAGGGGTCTCTGTGCTGGTGCTGCGCAGCGGCATGACATGTGAGTCCGGGGTCCTTTGCTTGGAGTGATTTGAGTATCTGTGGCGGGAATAGACTCAGGAGCTCCTCTGGCATTCTACAGACAGTGCCAGCAGGTGACCCGGACTCCAACGTGGTTGAAAAACTCAAAGGCCATCAGGGTGTGGGGCCAGCAGAGGGTATTACTGAGGGTGGTCACAACCCCCTGAGAAGCCCCCAGGCTTCCTTGGGGCCCATTCACACACTTTGATCTTCCGAGATTGCTTGCCCCCCATTTTTTTCACCACTTAAACGCATGATCATGGAGGACTCTGAAACTATACTGGAAAGTATGAATGCAGAACTCACATTGCATAGCCCTTCAGAACTCACTAACCCTTTGACATTTTGGTAGATTTTCTTGAGGCTTTGGTCTGTGCATATTAACTTTTTAAAGTGCTTTCATGCTTTCACTTTTGAATGAGGTTTGCCTGTTCTGGTGATTCTGGTTCTTCCCTCTTTGGGGCCTGTGAGGTTATATTTGCAAATCAATCAACGAGTATTAAGAAAGGCTTTTCTGTGTTAAGGCCTTGAGGGCCAGGGAGGGGGTGGGGAGTCGCTGCAGCTGGAGGGTGGAGGTGCAAGGCCATTACCCAGAGACAGAGGTGCACTGGGTCCTGGTGGGGTTGTGGCAGCACAGGGTGGGGGTGGGGGTGGAGTGTGTGTGCACAGGGAGTTGACTGGAGGAACTGGCAGCAAGCCAGACTCCTGACCTTAGGTATAGTAATAGTGACCTCAAAGACAAAGTAACAGTCAGGCTGATTGAGTGTTTGCTTGTGCTAAATGCTTTGCATGCGTTCATTTCACCCAAATTGCAATCTTTGGAGGGAGTTGGGATTATGATTACTCCATTTTACGGACGAGTAAACTGAGGCAAAGGAAGGTTAAGTAACTTGCCTGAGAGGAAATGAAACATGGTAGTGGGGTGGTGCAGCCTGGGATTCTGGGACAGGACTGTGGGGTCCCAGACCCCTGCTCCTGGCTGCTGCTGCACGGCTGACTGCCGACTGAATTCTAATGCGTGTCCAGACAGCAATTCCTCAGCTGAGGCTGCCATAGCTATCAGCAGCTCGGTTGAATTATTTCTTTAAAAACCACCAAGATAGAAAAACTAGTAGCCTGGGGGCACTACTTATTCCTGAATGCAAATTGATTTGTTTTTTTAAACAAAGTATCTCTTTAGTACCTAATGTTTTGAAAGTGAGCTGTTTGCAAATGTGACTGGAGCTAAAGGGCGATGGGGTGGGGGTGGTGGGGGTCAAAGTATGTTCCTCCACTGCAGGAGGTGAAGCTGAGAGCAGAGACCTGAGGAGGAGGCGGAAAGGCAAGAGCAGTGAGTGGAAGGGCTGACTTACCATCTGGAAGTTGCAGTTTATGTCTGCCTAGGATCCACACAAAGACCCATTTTACAGATGAGTAAAAAACCAAGTAAATTCCTGAAGTCAGAGAACAGTTAGGGATCTGAATGAGCCCAGTCCTCTGGCTCTAGGTGCCCCGTTCCTTTCCTAAGATCAGCCCTTTGTAAACCACCCCTGTCCAGAGGAAGCCTCTTGTTCCCTTCCCGTGTCCTTGTGTATGAACTTGTGAGGGGGAGGAACTTTCCGCCTTCCTGAGGACAGAAAGCATTGTTAGGATCTGTGCCACCTACTAGGCAGACGAGACATTTGCTGAGTGCCTCAGCAGGACACTTAGAATTGAGGCTTCCCGACTTCCTTACAGCGCCCCCCCATAGATTTCCCAGGGAGAGGCCTCCTGTCTTGGGATTGGGTCTGGTGGGTTTGCTCCATGTAGACCCATGGAACTGTGGGTCTGGGCGTCTGAAGCTCCCCAGGAGGTGCGCTGACCCTGGGATCCCCTGGATCCTTCCTGTAGGACCCCAGTAAGCATTGGGGCATCAGCTAACCCCTGCAAGCCGTGCCTGGAGTGACCTAAAGCCAGTCTGGTCTACCTAGAATCCTCTGCTGCTATCCTTGCTGATCTAGAATAAGGGATGATGCTGGTTAGTGGGTTAAGTAGGTGTTCGGTTAACTTAGTTACTGTCTTCCTCACAGTTAGCAAGAATGCTAAAACCATCACAGCAGGAAACACAGTTATTTCTTTCTGCCCCTGCGATGAGGGCGTGTTGTTGTGTGGTTTCATCTTGATAGGGATCAGCTGTGTGGAGCTGGTGTTTCAGGACCTGATTGTCCGCTTTCAGTGGCGTGTCGTTTCCACGCTGCCTCACTGCTTCTAAAACACCGAGACAAGAAAAATCGCTGCAACCAAAATACTGCTGAGCAGGGCTGAATTCTCTTGGACTGAGAGAGTGTTTGGAATCTTAGTGTATGCTGAGTTTGATGCAGGCCCGTGTCCTGCTGCAGGGCTTTTCGGGTGCAGCTCCAGGGCGGGGAACAGTGGTTTCCTTGATGTAAGTCCGTTTCTTGTAAAAGCAGAAGACTAGACTCTTGAAGCTTTTTGAGCTTTCTGTTTGTACTCTGTGATTCAGGAACGTGTCTGGTGCATGTCCACCACTGCAGTGTAGGATGTGGTGCTGGGCTTGGGGTCCCTTGGGTGTCTCCAGTGTCTGTGTGGTGGCATCTCCTACCCTGTTCAGTGTACTCTAGGAGCACCGTGGCCCTCTAGGTACACCTCAAGGCCTCCCCAACAAATCCGCCCTAACCTAGTGCAGCTACCTGGTATCCCTCACCTGTTGCCATCCACCCTCACTGGCTCCCAGTCTGCCTCTGCCAAACAGGAGGGAGGAAGCCAGTGAAAATGAGGGTGATCGAGCATGGGGGCCATCAGCTTGGGGATGAAGCTCTGCACACAATTTAGGGTCCCTCTGAATGCCTCCTTTTGTCAGGAAAGGGGAGGATTCTTATATGCTGGTTTTTTTTTTTTTTTTTTTTTTGAGATGGAGTCTGGTTCTGTCGCCCAGGCTGGAGTACAATGGGGCGATCTCAGCTCACTGCAACCTCCACTTCCTGGGTTCAAGCAATTCTGCCTCAGCCTCACGAGTAGCTGGGATTACAGGTGCACACCACCACGCCTGGCTAATTTTCGTATTTTTAGTAGAGATGGGGTTTCACGTTGTTGGCTAGGCAGCTCTTGAACTCCTGACCTCAGGTGATCCTCCCGCCTTGGCCTCTCAAAGTGCTGGGATTACGGGCATGAGCCACCACACCAGGCTGATTTTTTTTTTTTTTTTTTTTTTTTTTTTTTTTTTTTTTAATGAAGGCACTAATCTAGTACCCTTTTTGTCTCCCGGGCAAAATGAATGAAAGATTATGCTGAAGGATTCTATGTCAGTGATCTAGAAAATTCCCTCTGGCAGAGTGAGGTGCTCCCAGAGGTAGGGAAGTGCTCCTCAGAGGCACCCTTCAGGGGAGAGACCTCTCTGTCCCTGTCTCCAGCCCAGCACTGGGCAGGAAGCCCTGGGAGCCCTCTGTAAACAGCCTGTCATCTCTCAGCCTAATAATTCGGCTAAGGAGACCCCCTTCCTTTCACTACCCTAGTACCCAAGCTGACTCGGGCGCTTTCTGTCCCTAGTCTGATTGTTGCGGAACCGCGCATGTATGCCTTCCTGATGCTCCCTTTTCTGGAAGAGAGCGCTGAGACTTGGCTAGCTTAAGTAACTTGTGCGTGTTGAGAGGATACCAAGCCTTGGATCTGAATCCAGGCCCGTCGGCAACGCGTGGAGGCTAAAGATGCGCACAGGACGAGCTGTTACTAAGATGAGGGGTTTGCGCAGTCCCCACCCACGAACCAGCCCCTGCTGGGATGGCCAGGCCAAGGCTCAGGAGCTACGGCTTGCCTGCCGTCCGCTGTGGCCGGTGCGCCAGCCCCAGCTGCTTCCTCGGACCCCGAGGCTGGGTCTTTCTTGACTCTTCCTTCCTCCTCAGCTCTAATTATGGTGTATGTTAGCTTGTCTGCCCTTCCTCTTCCTCTTCTCTTTTGGGGAAAGATAATAGCACTTAATACGCTCTTTGCAGGCCTGGCTTTGTTTCTAAGGTATCAGAAGAATCTTTAGGAATCTTTCTTCCAGCCTCCCAAGCGAGCGGCAACGTGTCGGCACCCAGGAAGGATGAACATGGGTGCCCTGCTAATGATTACAATTGCTTCTCCTAGCCAGGCCATGCCCCGGGGGACACAGGGGGACACCTCCAGGTGGACCAAAGTGTGTCACCTCCTTTCATTGTGTCTTGGCAGCCACAGTGTGACGTGGTGGACGTGGTGCAGGTTATGAAACGGCTCCTGAAAAGTTGAGATCAATTCTTTGAGGCTTTGAATGCACCGGAATACGCTCGATGCGATACTGAAAGAAAGCAGGCGCTCAGGAAGCGGCAGGCCAAGGCTGTTCAGAGCCGTCTGCAGTTGCTTTTTTTTTTTTTTTTTCCACAGGAGAGTCCGGGCTCTGCTCCAGGCACTGGGATTATTTCTCACTGGAGGATTCAGGAATCTGCGCTCTCCCCATCACCCTGGAACACAGCTGCAGTGTGTAGCATTTCACTCACTTGAAGCCACACGATAAAAGGCACAGGCCCACATCTGGCTGTGCAGGGCAGGCGAGCAGGCCCTGCGGCACACTGGGCCATTAGCGGGGGGCATCTGCGTCTAGGCCTGTGCGCATTCCTCCCTGGAGCGCCGGGCTGGCTCTGCAAACAAAGGAGCCTGGTCCTGGCATTCTTCTCCACCTTGTAATCCATCACCTTTCTTCGAGGTGTCCCTGGGCGCCTACCCCTTTCATCACTGGCCGTTTGGGAGTTAGATCAAAGGTACGCACAGGAGAGAGCGACATAGGCCTGGTTCTGGCATCCCGCAAACCTGGGGCAGAACTGCCCTTTGTCCTGGGAGATCCTGGGGTTACTGTGACCGTGTTTGCCATTCCTCGCTTGCAGCCTGACATTGTCATTCCTCCACAGGTTCCCGGTCTCGGTCTCAGGTGGGAGCCATGTGGCTGTTGTTTCCTTCTTCTGGGCTCCAGGCTCAGTGTACTTTGGTGCTGCTGAATTTCCATGGCCCCAGGGGCCTGAAAAGCACCTTGTGGTCCTTCTGGAGAACCACTTCGTCATTCTTGGAAGTGCTAATCTGATCCCCCCGGAGGGAGCTGTGTGCTAACGGGTTGACACGGGGAGCCCAGTGTGATAGATGAGTTTTTCCCAAAAGATCGGGGACAGGTGTTTCCAGTTTGTCTCCTCTGGAAAGATCTGCAGAGCCCAGTGGACAGGACTAGTGAAAGGGGGCCTGTGTGCAGGTCTTGGCTGGGTGCTAAGGGAGGTGGGAGAGCTCTACTTGGGTTAAGAATGAATTTCTGGGCCAGGCGCAGTGGCTCACGCCTGTAATCCCAGCACTTTGGGAGGCCGAGGCGGGTGGATCACGAGGTCAGGAGATCGAGACCATCCTGGTCAACGTGGTGAAACCCCGTGTCTACTAAAAATACAAAAAAAAAAAAAATTAGCTGGGCATGGTGGTGCATGCCTGTAATCCCAGCTACTCGGGAGGCTGAAGCAGGAGAATTGTCTGAACCCAGGAGGCAGAGGTTGCGGTGAGCTGAGATCGCACCATTGTACTCTAGCCTGGGTAGCAAGAGCAAAACTCCATGTCAAAAAAAAAAAAAAAAAAAAAAAAAAAAAAGAATGAATTTCTTGGCCGGATGCAGTGGCTCATGCCTGTAATCCCAGCACTTTGGGGGGCCGAGGTGGGTGGATCATGAGGTCAGGAGATCAAGACCATCCAGGCCAACATGGTGAAACCCTGTCTCTACTAAAAATGCATAAAAATTAGCTGGGTGTGGCGGCACATGCCTGTAGTCCCAGCTACTCGGGAGGCTAAGGTAGGAGAATTGCTTGATCCCAGGAGGCAGAGATTGCAGTGAGCTGAGATTGCACCACTGCACTCCAGCCTGGGTGACAGTGTGAGGTTCCGTCTCAAAAAAAAAAAGAATGCATTTCTCTCATCTTGCACTGGGAGCCCTCTGCAAACAGCCCGCCAGCTCTCAGCCTAATAATGAGAGGGAAGGAGGCACATTTGTTATCTGTATTAGTTGGAGACTAGCAGAAGTCTCTCAAGTAATGAACGTATCTTTGCTTCTTAACTTGCTTTTTGACTATTTTTCTACAAAATAGTTTTCTTGTAGTATGTGTTCATTGTAGACTTGGAAAAGTTAAAAAATGCTAAGGAAACAGGAAAAATTTCCTTCTAACATCACCTCCATAGGGGTTCGTATTTTAAGCCTGTTTGTGTGCCATATGTTTTCTGTGCTTTTTAAATTTACCAAGCTGAGATCATACCATGTGCATTATTTTATATCCTGCATTTTAAAATCAATGTAGCAGTATAAGCATTTCCCAATCTGGAAATAGCTCGGCATAAATGTGACTGCTGACGACAGTACTCCAGTATGTGGATACTATACTTCGGTATAATACTCCAGTATGTGGATGTACTATGATATTTGGGCTTCACTGTTTGTTCATTGATCATTTACATCCTGTGTTATGCTTGCACATAGGTCGTTGGGCAGATCGTAGCTAGTCATGTTCTCGGAAGAATTTCTAGCAGCCTCTTTGAGGTCAAACTGTGGTAAAACATTTATAACATGAACTTTGTCTTTTCTTTCTTTCTTTCTTTCTTTTTTTAAATATGAAACGCTTCATGAATTTGTGCATCATCCTTGTGCAGGGGCCATGCTAATCTCTGTATCATTCCAATTTTAGTATATGTGCTGCCGAAGCGAGCATGTTGTCTTTTTTTGAGATGGATTCTTGCTCTGTCACCAGGCTGGAGTACAGTGGCTCCATCTCAGCTCACTGCAGCCTCCATCTTCTGGGTTCAAGAGATTCCCCTACCTCAGTGTCCTGAGTAGCTGGGACTACAGGTGTGTACCACCATGCCCAGCTAATGTTTTTGTATTTTAGTATAGATGGGTTTCACCATGACCAGGATGGTCTCGATCTCCTGACCTCGTGATCCTCCTGCCTCGGCCTCTCAAAATGCTGGGATTACAGGCATAAACCACTGTGCCCATTCACTTTGTCATTTTAATAATGTAAGTGCACAGTTATGTGACATTAAGTACCTTTACATTGTTGTGCAGCCATCACCACCCTCCAGCTCCAGAACTCTTTCCATTTTGCAGAACTGAAACTCTGTGTCTCTTAAATGCTAACTCCCACATTCTTCTCCCCCAGCCCCTGGCAACCACCATTCTACTTTATGTCCCTATGAAACAGACTACATCTGAACATGGTATGGCTTGGGAAGGGTTAAAAAAAAAAAAAAAAAGCTAGGCGCAGTGGCTCACGCCTGTAATCCCAGCACTTTGGGAGGCTGAGGTGGGTGGATCACAAAGTCAAGAGATCCAGACCATCCTGGCCAACCCCATCTCTACTAAAAATACAAAAATTAGCTGGGTGTTTGGCATGCGCATGTAGTCCCAGCTACTTGGGAGGCTGAGGCAGAAGAATCGCTTGAACCTGGGAGGCGGAGGTTGCAGTGAGCTGAGATTGCGCCACTGTGTTCCAGCCTGGTGACAGAGCAAGACACTATCTCAAAAAAATAAAATACAGGGACTACATAGGGTGCCTCATACAAGTGGAATCACACACTATTTGTATTTTTTGTGATTTATTTTATGTATATAATTTTTTGAGACGGAGTCTTGCTCTCTCGCCAGGCTGGAGTGCAGTGGTACGATCTTGGCTCACTGCAACCTCTGCCTCCTGGGTTCAAGTGATTGTCCTCTCTCAGCTTCCCAAGTAGCTGGGACTACAGGTGTGTGCCACCACACACAGCTAATTTTTGTATTTTTAGTAGAGACGAGGTTTCACCATGTTGGCCAGGATGGTCACGATCTCTTTTTTTTTTTTTTTTTTTGAGACGGAGTTTAGCTCTTGTTACTCAGGCTGGAGTGCAATGGCGCGATCTCGGCTCACCGCAACCTCCGCCTCCTGGGTTCAGGCAATTCTCCTGCCTCAGCCTCCTGAGTAGCTGGGATTACAGGCACGCGCCACCATGCCCAGCTAATTTTTTGTATTTTTAGTAGAGACGGGGTTTCACCATGTTGACCAGGATGGTCTCGATCTCTTGACCTCGTGATCCACCCGCCTCGGCCTCCCAAAGTGCTGGGATTACAGGCGTGAGCCACCGTGCCTGGCCGGTCACGATCTGTTGACCTCATGATCTGCCCGCCTTGGCCTCCCAAAGTGTTGGGATTACAGGTGTGAGCCACCACCCCCGGCCGTGATTTATTTCACTTGGCATAATGTCCTCAGGGTTTCATCCATGTTGCAACATTATCTCAATTTCCCTTCTTTTTAAGGCTGAATAATATTGTGTGTGTGTGTGTGTGTGTCTATAGCACATTTTGTTTATCCATTCATCCATTGATACACTTGGGTTACTTCTGTCTTTTGGCTGCTGTGAATAGTTCTGCTATGGATATGGGTGTGTAGTCCTTGCTTTCCAGTTTTTGGGGTATATACCCAGAAGTGAACATAAACTTTTTGGAACTCGTTGGTATAGATGGTCAAACTGCAATTGAGACATAGGGTGCTGTCTGGATTCTCACGGTGTCCAGCCACTGTCCCTAAAGATGGCTAAGCTGTCACCCCCAGGGTAAAAACCAGGCCTGCAGGAAAAGGAAGAGGGAGACTTCTTACCGAGCTATTTTGACAGATTGTGTAAACTCTGTGATTAATGGGATGAGAAAGCAGGAAGAATGTCTTTCATTTAAAAAAAAAAGAAAGAGCCTTCGGGGTTGCTTGGTTTTATTTTCAATTAAAGGGTCTGATTTTGTTTCTGGAGAATGGTTTTAATTTGGATAAATGGTTCAGTCTGGGAACCACATGCCAGAACCTATGATCTATGAGTGCAATTACTCAGGGTTTCCTCGGCTGCTTTTCTGAGGGAACAGTCCAGAACAGGACTTGCTCTGGTTTGGCTCTGTTAAGCTTCGGGGCAAGGCTCTGGGGCGCTTGGAGTGAGGCCGTTTTTGTGATCACTCGTTGAAGTGCAGCCATCATGCCCTCCCCATCATGCCTTCCCCGACTGCTGGTGGTTAAATTTTACCCTCTAAGAATGTACTCACAATTCCAAGTCAGGAGTGCCAACAGCAGGCTGTCGTTTTCCCTTCTTCAATATGCTGAACCAAAATTCCTGGTATCTTTTCCAACATGGGCATTTGCAGAATTGTGAGATTTGGGGGCTCAAGGAGGATGCAGACTCGTCCTAATGTTCCTCCTCCAGATTACTTGAGGTCCCTGGCTGGGCAGGACTGCAGGCCCTGAGACGGGGTGGTGGGTTGCTCTATCTGAGGTCAGCGGGTGCTTCTTTCCAAGGGGATGCTGGGTTGGGGGAGGTGAAGGAATAAATCCTAGTGGCTTTGAGGAGCCATTGGGATGGAGGGACAGCCCGGGCAGAGGCCCTGGGCCTCTGTGTTCTGGAGTAGCAAAGGGGGTCTGCAGAAGGCAAAGAAGAATACAAAGACAGAAGGTAGGGTGTTCCGTGCTTTAGGAGAAACATGGCAAAGCCCTGGACAACTTTCCAGGAGTTTGCAGATTGGCGACAGATGCCTGGCTGGCCTAGCGGGCTGGTAGGAGCCAGTGTGGAGGGTGGCAGGGTGTCCCCAGGGTGGAGGTGGAGACAGTCTGCAACTGAAATTTCCAAGAGCACAGCCCACGAAGGAAGAATGGGGTCCGTGAGGTAGGTGAAGGCATTGCCCTGCTGGCTTGTATCAAGGCGTTGGCTCCTGGGTCCGAAACAAAGGGCATATTAG